AGGGTTGTGGTGAGTCAAATCTCAAGAGGGAGATTATTCCACAGAGCAGGTGTCGTCATGGAGTGGGTCTTTTGCTCAGAATAAATTAGCTATATTATATTTTGGCAAGAGACTTAAATAGTCCACAGCATTATGGTACATTTTTTTAAGGTTCTAAAAATCCATTGCTGGCATTGCAGCAGATTAGACGCTACAAAAGGAATCCCTTAAGTACACACACCTTTTATTTAGGGCCATAATTTTGATTACTGTGGCTGACTTTCCAAACGCAGTGGGATCAGCATTAACCAATGAATTATCCCATTACTTTTCAACAATGCTTGTTCTGTTTCTGAACAGAGACAGATAAATACTGCTGCTGCAATTATCTACAGTCATTGGTGTCTCCTTGTTCCTGGCTTCTACTGATGTGGTGTTTTTGAATGGGTTAAAAATATCCATTCAATTCTGAAAGGAATAAGATCACAACAAAAGTGTTTGGAAGAAATATTATTATAAGTTAAATTATAAAATACTATTTGGGGGATACTTGGACAAGCAATTCAGGGGGTCTCTAAGGGGGTGAATTTTGATAACATTTCATACAAAGAGTTACTTATTTGGTCGGGTACTGATTGGCAACTAAAGTCAATGGGTTGAACTTAAAGTAACTCAGATAAGTAGAAATAGTTTTATTGTATATAATATTGATGTTTTAATTTGGAGAGAGGAATTGCTCGGGCATTTCCCCTGGACCGCATCCGGAGCGAGAAGACAGAAGAAGGCGAGAAGCAAGTAGGAAGGTTGAGGAGAAGGAGGAGAGGGGGTGAGTGAGGAAGAGGTAGAAGAGGGGAAGAGGCAAGTTGGTTAGAGGGTGGATGCGGTTTGGGGGGAAATGGGTGAGCAATACCGAAAGCAGTGTGTATTAATTTGTTTTATTTTTTATCTGAAGTATTTTTAAGAATGTAATGTATTGTAAAATTGAAAATAAAAACTTTTTACAAAAAAAAAGATCACAACAAAAGTGTTTATGGTCATACAATATATATATATTGCCAAAGGCAACAGTAGTAAAAAGGTACATAGTCTTCTCTGATTTCATGTTATTGATCTTGGAAAATGTGTTTTCTTGCATTTAAAGAGCAATAGTTATTTCATATCTATTAATATATTTCCAACAAATATATTTCTATAGGAAAGCATTTCAGTTACTGGAGTATTGTTTAGAATAAAGAGGGATTACTGTATAATGTCCCGAGAAAAAGGAAAATCTTTCTCTGTTTTCACTGCTATTATTTCTTCCATAATAGCAATCATCTTTCTTTTAATGAGCACTTTTTTAAATCATAGAAAATAGTTTTTTTTCCTCCTATTTTAATTAATATAAACTGTGGAAGTATTTTTATATAGCTCCTCTAGTTATAAATCAATCGGAATAAATATTTCAGGATCTAAGGCCATAACATTCAGATTCAAGATCCTGGTACTGTATAGCACAGAAGAGAGTTGCTGAATTTGGGGGAACTGTAGTTTCCATTAAAGCCTTCTATCTTTTACAAATACCTCAGGTGTAAAGATCATACAGTACGTCTTACTTTCCAGGCAGTGTTTGGTATGGAAGCACACTCGTCTTAGTCTTACTCTGTCAGGTTTTCTGTTTTCTCCATTCTCTTGCTGCCAGTTTGTATTTTCTCTCCATGTTAGCTGGGCACATTTCTTCCCCATTTCAGGAAACTTTTAAGATTTAAGGCTAAGCCAAAGCGACCCCCTCTCCACCACAGAGCAAATATTTTTTGCTGTCCTCATTGTTGGAACACTAACCAATGGAACAGTAGACAGACGGTTGAAAGATGTTGCATTGGTAGCAGAGAAGAGTGGGCCTCCTCTGATCAGCCTTCCCCTTAGCCCAGAGTTCCACATCTAGAATCTATCATCATTTTATCCTTCACTAATTATTTTGGTTGTTCATCATGAACAGTAAAATCCATCAGTTACAGGTAATCCTCGGTTGTTAAGTGAATTTGGCTTACAGCAATTCACTTAGTGACTGTTTGAAGCTACAACAGTACTAAAAAAAGTGACTTATGACCATTTTTCATACCGCATATGCCGCCGTATTAGGCGACCCGGCGTATAAGACGACCCCCGTCTTTATAGCCGGGCCGCATTCCTAGAACGTCGTCTTATACGCCGGAAACTACCAGTATTTCCGGCGTATAAGACGACTCGGCGTATAAGACGACCCCCGTCTTTGGCGCCGATTTCAGCACTCGAGGAAATCGTCTTATACGCCGGCATTTACGATAGTTACAACTGTTGCAGCATCCCTGTAGTCACATGATCAAAATTCATATGCTTGGCAATTGACTCATATTTATGATGGTTGCAGTATCCTGGGGTCATATGATCATCTTTAGTGACCTGAGAAGCAAAATCAATTGGTAAGCCAGATTCACTTAACAAACATGTTACTAACTTCACAGCTGCAGTGGTTCACTTAACAACCGTGGCAAGAAAGTTCATAAAATGGGGCAAAACTCACTTAACAACTGTTTGGCTTAGCAGTGGAAATTTTGGGCTCAATTCTGGTTGTAGGTCAAGGACCGTCCGTACTTGTTTCTCTTTTGTGCCAACATATCAGTAGGCTTATGCTTAAAACAGACTTTAAAAATATTTTTTCACTTTAACATTTTCATTATTTGATCTCCTAATGTGTCAGACACTTTCTCTGTATTCACTTGTCTCATTCCCATCCATCCATTCATGCCATTTAGCAAAATAACTTTTTCCCCCGGGTTTCATTCATTTAGAAAGTGCAGAGCTTTCCCAAGAGGTCCTTTCTGATTCTTCCACTATCATCATTCACTGGAGTGTCACAGGAAATTATCACCAGCCCATGGGTTCCTATTTTTAAAGACACCCACAATAATATAGATCAGCGGTTCTCAACCTATGGGTCGCAACCCCATTTGGGGTCGAACGACCATTTTACGGGGGTCGCCAAACACCGCGATCCGCCATTTTTCCCCCTCCGGGGGCGCTGCCGCGCATGCGCATCGCACATGGGGGCGCCGCCACGCATGCGCGCCGCATCCATGTGACCGGGGGTCGCCGTATAAAAAGGTTGAGAACCACTGATCTAGATGATGCCAATTAATCGTTTCTAAAGTACATTTAACTCTTTTATTCAGTTCTTGCATATGTTCATCAATTCTACTCTACAAGATCTGTCCACCTTCATTTTGATCTATTATATTATCTCCCTCTTAGTTTTTTTTAATAAAAAAATCTATTTTTATTTCATGTTATGAATTAATGCTTGTTATTGTATGTTCTCTTTAATTTCCTATGGTAGAGTTGCTATTATATTTGAATCATAGATATTTGCTTCCACTGCCCATCATGGCTTTGGCAAGTTGAGGCTTTCACATCTCAATTGTTAGGAAGGAAAGTTAAAAAAAAAGGAAGATAAAAAAAGATTATCAGTCTTACTGAGGGACATTAGTGGCTAATGGTGAGGATTCTACTTGTCTTTGGCAGTTTGTCATACGTTTCTCTAAGGCTATGTCATGTGTCTGATTAACGAAACACTTCAAAGAACCTTCAGGCATTTTTTTAACCTAAAAAGCCTTTATTAATGTTACAGAGATATCAGCACGGCATGGTGGATGCTAAGATCTGAATTTCCCTTCCTTTGCACATAACATTCCAGGCATTTCCCCTCCCCTGTTTTGGGGTCATGATTCACATCTTCCAATTAACTTGGAGGGCAAAGATTCACTTCCGTTACTTTTTCCCGGGCTTTCCTTATATTCTCCTCCCCTTTCACTGTCACCTGATTTAACTCTAAAAATACTGTCAAAGCAAGAATATTCAATATTAGCAGCGTTGACAGGCTAACTGAATTGGTTGGTCATATTATTCAATGCAAAGATCTCTAATTTAAGAACTAACCTTATAAATTATAATGTTGCCAGAATGCCACCAACTTGGAAATAAAGGCAACAAACTCAGGATACCACATCTTGTGGAAAACTGCTATGTTTTGGACGTGGCACAAAAACCACTCAATGTGAAAAAAAAAAACAAAGGCTTCTGACTCTGATGGAAGAAGCAGTTTTTCCACAAGGAAGAGAATCAAAATTACAGTTCCAGAGTTTGGGATGCGTTAATCTTGCTCCCTCACTGAGCAGGGTGTTGGATTTTATGGCATAAATTATCCATTTTAGGTCTTTTGATTCCATTATTTCTTTCCATCAAATAATGCTGGAGAAGGACAGGATCCAAGTCTCATACAGTGTTATTTCAACATACACCATGGCTGACTACATAGTATGTATTTATACAGAACCTAATTTCGTACATATAGCATATGAATATGCTCTTTCCATCATGGGATTTATTTTGAGTAATTGTTGATTCATCTTTGATTTTTGTGTGTTCAGTGCCCCTCTCATTGTCTTCAGTTGTGAGCAACTGAAGACACATTGGACAAATTTTGAGAAGACTGATTTTTAGAAGGTGAGGGGCAGAGGAGCAATGCTGAAGCATATTGTCTTGGGCAGATATATGTTTATATATACAGATATTTTTGTTTGTCCATTTTCTTCAAGAAACTATAATTATGTAGAGGAAGCACATATTTCCATTTATTCTCTTGCTTCTCTTAGACTGTGGCAGATATTTAGTGCTGAAAGGTTTTTCATTTCATATCATGTCATTAATTTAGAAACAGTGAATCCTTATATTCAGCATTTACCAATAATGAAACATATTAATGAGACAGTTTTCACAAACCTTAAAATTAATATCACTTTTAGCTCCTTTATCCCTTTTTTTTGTTAGCAGGTGTATCTTTACAGATTTGAAAGATGAATATCCTACTTTCATTCTTTCTGTATGGAACGTTGAGGCCTAGTCTATGAAACCTGATTAACTAGTACATTGTTATTTAGTGTCACGATTTCTGAGTACATTTTCTGATGCTTCTTTTTTTTCTTTCTTTTTTTTTCATTTGACAGATGTAAGACAAAAGTCTACCCTGATGAGTTACCCACCACAAGTGTGGTCATAGTGTTTCATAATGAAGCTTGGAGTACTTTGCTTCGTACTATTTACAGTGTTATGAATCGGTCTCCGCACTACTTACTTTCTGAGATCATCTTGGTAGACGATGCCAGTGAAAGAGGTAAGAATGTCCAAAAATAAAACTCATTAACATTTGAACAGTATTGTGGACAAGGGATAGTTTTTCTTTCTTTGTATGATTTCTTTAATACTACTTAATAAATCTTGTAATGGCATTCCCCGGCATTTTTCTGAAGAGAATGACTAGAGCGGTGTGGAGAAAAACACAATTTTAGAACTCATTTTACCATTGTGGACAAATGATTATAAAAAGCAACGAGAATGTGCATTAATGGAGCAGGGCAGGTTTTTCTTAAATTTCAAGTAAGAAATTACATGGGATTCCCTGAGAACAAGTCACAAAACAGGAGCCATGGTGGCACAGTAGTTAGAATGTAGTATTGCAGGCAAACTCTCCTCACAGCCAGGAGTTCAAGCCTCACTGGCTCAAGGTTGACTCACTGGCTCAAGAAGCCTTCCATCCTTCTGAGATCAGTAAAATGAGGACCCAGATTGTTGGGGGGGTCATATGTTGACTCTGTAAACCACTTAAAGAGGGCTGTAAAGCACTATGAAGAGGTATATAAATCTAATTGCTATTGCTAAAACACTTTTTATCTTGTTCAGCTGAAGAATTTGGTCAGAATGTAGAGATGCCTTTGGCTTGTTCAACCTTCCACTAAATTTACTCTCCTAGTTGGAGAGCATTGGAATAGAAATACAAGACATCTAGTGGATTTTAGATTAATTTTATTTGATGTGCCTGTTGAGGGCACTTTAACAGATCCCTTACTGATCATTTATTCATGTGAAAGTGGGATTGCCTTTGCTTTGAAAGAAGCTGTGATGAATTGAATATTATACAACCTTTGTTAAGACCTTACCTCAAGAATTCCATTCTTTTTCAAAACTTCAGAGCATGTAGTGGCAGCCTAGCCATGGCTTGCTTAATCATGGGGTGTTGATTAAGCCATAATTAGCAGGGTTAATAGCGGAAGTAAAGTGCACTGAAGCTGTACTTCTAAGATGAGAAAACGTGAGCGCAATGCATACGTTGGCTCATTCTCTTCATAACAATAAAAAAAGTTCCCTGCCTGAAAGAGAAACTGTTCTTTTTATCATGGCATCTGAATGCAGCTAACTGATTATTATCTCAGGAAGAACAATGGATGCTTCCTTCCAGTTTTTAAGCCTGTGGCGTTCTAACAGCATGAAAAAAATCTTCAGTCAGATTCTGTTTTTCACAATGGAACTGAGATACAGTTTTCTGCTACTGAATAAGAGGCAGAAGCTGGGTTCACACATGATATTAAGTGAGGGCTATGAAAAGTGTGCTCATGGTTCCACATGTGGTCCATTAAAATCCTGTCCCCAGAGCCACAAAAAGTGACAGAGGTCAATCATTTTAGTAGGGAATGGTATGAGGGCTAAAAACAAAATGGATGCCTTCAATCTTGCAAAGACTTAAGGAGTCCATTGTACTGCTTCTGTGACCTTCCCCAAAAATATGTTCTGATCCTATCCAAAGGCTGCTATATCCCTCAAGCCAATAGAAATTGTCCATGCTTGCAATCATTTTGAGCAGGGGTCTTTAAACTTAGCCCTTTTATGACTTGTGGACTTTAACTTCCAGAATTCCTCAGCCAGCGTGCTGGCTGAGGAATTCTGGAAGCTGAAGTTCACAAGTCATAAAAGGGCCAAGTTTGAAGACCCCCAATTTTGAGGAAGTGCTCCTAAATTTCAGAATTCCCTTCCCAGAAAGTCAGTTTTTCCATATGAAGTTGGATCCTTTTGGTGCACATTGAAAATATTATTAAGAAAATATTTGAAAGTATGATGATTACATTGCTGCTACTTTTTTATCTCTTAAGGTTGGGCTGCTTTTTATTATGTGCTTAAATAACATGTTTATTTGACTTTTAAAACAAGAGGAGTATTTTATAGCATAATCCTGTACCACTTTATTCAGCAATCTCATTAAGTTCAATGAGGCTTGTTCCCTGAAATATGTTTTAGGATTGTCCTGTTCATGAGATAATGATGTGGTGTTTTTTTTTTTTTAATAGTATACAAATAGTGCAGCAGTCAGAATCTTTTAATTCATTTTACAGTAATCTGTTTATTTCATTTCCCCTGCTATATCATTATATTATTGTATCCTGGAAGAATATTTTCTTTCTAAATTGCTAAAGAAGTTAGAATCAGGCTCAGCAGTAGTGGCTGCTTGTTTCAGGTAGGCTGCAAAATATACTCTAGAGGGCTCATGATTGATCCTAATCCAGAAATAGAATGCCTTCTCTCTGTGCCACCATCTGAAGTGAGAACATTCTGTAGGCAATGAAATGATCTTCCATGCTCTGTGGACTCACATTGACCCATGAACCACATGAGAATAAGAAGGTGTTGGGATTTGTGGCTGCAAGATATCTTTTTAAAATATACATAGACGGTGTTCTGTTTGTCCAAATGGTGTTTTATTTTCATGCAATAATATATAGATTACTGTGTTCTTAAGGTCCTGTAAAATAAAGAATGTTATATTATTTAGTTCAGTAGTCTTGGTTTCCTATTTTTCCCTCCCCCCCTTGTTCTTTCCCTTTTTGTATTTTTTAAAGCAAAAAATTATCTCTCTTTTTGTTGGGTTTTTTTCTCTGTATTCAGGAACTTTTGCCCTTTTTGATTATTTTTTTATGGAAAGCAGAAAGCAGTCAGCTCGTAGATTCTTATTCTATTCTATTCTATTCTATTCTATTCTATTCTATTCTATTCTATTCTATTCTATTCTATTCTATTCTTATTCTACTCTACTCTACTCTACTCCTATTCTATTCTATTCTATTCTATTCTATTCTATTCTATTCTATTCTATTCTATTCTATTCTATTCCATTCCATTCCATTCCATTCCATTCCATTCCATTCCATTCCATTTTACGAATGTTGGTGTTTGTTTGTTTTTAATCTTGGAGTTTAGCTTGAACAAACTGTGTTGTATTTTCTTTCTTAATGGCATTTGGCAGATTTTCTGAAGCTCCCATTAGAGAATTATGTAAGAAATTTGCAAGTGCCAGTAAAAATTATTAGAATGGAACAACGGTCGGGACTGATCCGAGCTCGGCTTAGAGGTGCTGCTGCTTCTAAAGGCCAGGTCATCACTTTCTTGGATGCACACTGTGAATGCACTACAGGTTGGCTGGAGCCCCTGCTGGCAAGGATAAAGGAAGACAGGTGAGAATTAAGAACAGGTTCTGTTACTATGACAGCCTCTGCCACTCTCTTTCTCTCTCTCTTTTTTAAGGGTCTGTTTGTTATTAATCACTCTTTTCCTGCTGTTTGTATCTCAACTACCAGAAATGTCTTGCTTCAATAAAAGAACTGAAGAATGCTATATTCTGTTTGGTTCTAGTTTGCTAGTTTAATCTGGAAGCACACATACTGAACTTTGCTGATGGCTTTAAAACAGTGCCTTCCTGCTTAATGGGCCCATTTTTCTTCTGATTGTCAGTTGAAAGACCTCTGACAGCGAGTGTGACATCGTTTCTAAGAATATGGATTTGCACCAGGAATATCTAGATTCATTTACTGAAGTATTCTGCAGTAGTTAGGCTTTCTCTAAGAATTGTTTATGTGAGTGTTGCTTTCGGTTTCCACAGGCAAGGTGAGGTAAGAATGTAATGGTATTTAAACATTTGTTTTCTGTAGCCCAGTCATCCATTATAATCAGAAAACATCCCAGATGACATAAATACTAATTTGTAGAAAATGCAGAGAGCAAACAGTCTCAGAAGTTTTTCTGTTATCTCACATGGGAGATGCTTTCTTTCCCTCTCACAATTGTTTGCTGTTTTATTCACTCACAAAGATATGTAGATTTACTTGAGTAAAGCCTGTGCCATTCCATTAATTAAGATTTTGCTAAGAGTTAATAGTTCCAGAATAAGAGTCTGCAGTTATCCAAGAATACACAGAAGAAGGCATATCTTCACATAATTTATATGTGATATATAGGGTAGGGGCTACAAATATGGATGGTTTTCAAAGGGAATTAAAAAAAGAATAAGATTATCAATAGCTTCTAGCAATTACTATAGCAGCATATCTACTGTACATATGATTTGCCGTATCAGAAGCAGTTGCTTGGAAATGCAACTGGGAGGATGCTGTTGTACTCAAGTCCTGCTTGTTGAATTCCTACAGCAGTGAAACCTTTGGGCTTGACGTGTCAAAAATTTGGAAAATGCCTACTTCGATTCTGTTGGTGTGTCAGTTCTCCATCTCCAGCCCATCTTGGTCTAGTGGCACTATGTGGCAGTGCTTCGTGCCAGTCCCTTAAAGGACGTGAGCCTTGGGGAATGGCGTGATTGCCTCTGTGGCCCAGCACTCCCCAGAATCTGCCACATACCATTTACCTCCAAGCAATGCTCTCTTTCTGTTGCCTGGTTCCCAGCTAGGTTTTCAAAGTTTTCCAAAACATGAGCAGAGTCAGGACTAGCTCTTATTTACTTATTTACTTACTTATCTGATTTGCTGCCCTCTCCGCTCGGAACAACTCTGGGCGTCTTAGTAGCAATCTTAGTAGTATGATGTTCCTGGGTGTAGGAGCAATCAAGGAAAAGGCATGATTCCTGAGACCCACTAAATAAAAATCTTTAGTAGATGGAATCCGCAACGTGTTCCTCCTGCCCAATGGAATGGATAGGAATAATGGGAGTAAGGTGGACCCATGGCATGTAAGACTTGAATTGCACCCAAAAGCCAGTGCAGTTCTCAGAGCAAAACACGGGCACTGAGAGATAAACCTATAACTGCTGGCACTGCTGCATTCTGGACCAAATGAAGCTTATTGGCATTCTTCAAGGGCAGCCCCATAGAAATCATAGCTTAACCTGCCCCTGGTTCTCTCAGCATCAGAACCACACAAGAACTGCAGTGAAAAGACAATACATCATGTACTTGAAAAGAGCTTTCTGTGAACATTAGCCAGACCACTCAAATATTGATAATTTCATAGAGCCGTAGAATTGGAAGTTGCCATTGAAATGATTGAATGCAATAATCTGACTCTTCGATGGAGTCAGTGAAATGAAATCATGTTGGCAGATGGATGTCTAGCTTCTTGTTGTGTATTATTCTGTGGTTCCAGTCATTAATTGCATTGTGAACTGAATCTGTCATCTCTGTTTCCACATTTGTAGTTTGAATTCTGCATACTCAATTTCCTTTATGGTTTCCCCCTCCTCCCCTTTCTCATTAAGTTTCTTGGAAATATATGTTTCTGATTGTTTGCTAGCTGATAGACCTCACATGGTGAAAATCTATTTCTATTTTCGTCTTCATCGGTGTAGCTAGATTTTGAATTCAGAATAAGTAAAAGCTTTTCATACAGTGGATGAGTGGGAAACACAATGAATGTTGCTCCATTTCCTATCTGTGACTTCTTATTAATAGTTTGTATATTGAGCTTATCCATTTGTGTTTTGCTCGAGGAAAACATGTGTGCTTTGGGGTTAAAAAAAAAAAGGAAGACCTAAAAAGAATTGTGCATACTTATATGTTATGGATTTCGCAAGGTGTGGATGTGCTTAATGTGCCATGAATAATACATCTGGATTTTAAAAACAGTAATCCACTCAAATGCTTGTGGAAGCAGGTATTTCCCCCTCCCCCCCCAAACTTGGTCACAGTTCATATCTCCAAACGGATGCAGCAATCTTTGGAGCTTTGCCTAGTTTCAGTTGCCAAGGCTGCATGGATAAATCTTCAGATATATTGTTAACAATGTTTAGGAAAGGGAGGAGAAGGAGGCCTTCATGTCCTGCCTTCGTGCTTTCTTCTCCTGAGTAGATTTTGATTGTATTTATTTAATCAAGGTGTTAATAGATTTCAAAAGGGATTCAGCCTTTTACATACAGCCTTACCTCTGAAAATGTGTGTATTTGGACCAGACTGATTTCCTTGACAGGAAAATATGTTTGCATATTTGTTTTTGTTTCATAGAAAAATTGTTGTATGCCCAATTATCGATGTAATCAGTGATGACACATTTGAATACATGGCTGGATCAGACATGACGTATGGAGGATTCAACTGGAAACTCAATTTTCGTTGGTACCCAGTTCCCCAAAGAGAAATGGACAGGAGGAAAGGAGACAGAACTTTGCCTGTGAGGTAAGTAGTAGAGACAGAGGATGATTTATGAGCATTAATTGTTTTGTGTGTGTGTGTGTGTGTGTATGTGTGTGTGTGTGTGTATGTCTTTGGTTATTCGGGTTTTCTCCCACATCAAATTGGAAGTGTCTTGGCGACGTTTCGACAAAGTCTCATTCGTCATCTTCAGGCTGGTGTTTTCGGCTTTGTGCTTCTAGGAGCAATGTGTGATCGTAGCTGTTTCTTCCTTTTAACTGCCAGTGGGGGTATGAACTGATTGGATGAGAGCTTGGCTGTGTTCTGATTGGATGGAGGTGTGTTCTGATTGGTTAGGAGCTTGGCTGTGCTCTGATTGGATGGGGAGTTGGCTGTGCTCTGATTGGATGGGGGGGTGGCTGTGCTCTGATTGGTTGGGAGAGTGTTCTCTTTGGGTGGGGGCTTTGTTGTGCTCAGGTTAGTCTGAGTTGCACGGGGATGTGAGATGATGAGCTGCATTGCTATTGTTTGGCTTTGCGTTCGTGGTGGTGCCTCATCTTCATGGTGGGTGTCAGTTTGCTTCATGTATGGATTGAAGATGAGGCACGACCACAAACGCGAAGCGAAACAATAGCAATGCAGCTCACCATCTCCCGTGCAACTCAGACTAACCTGAGCACAACAAAGCCCCCACTCAAACAGAACACTCCCCCAACCAATCAGAGCACAGCCAACCCCCCATCCAGTCAGAGCACAGCCAAGCTCCTAACCAATCAGAACATACCTCCATCCAATCAGAACACAGCCAAGCTCTTATCCAATCAGTTCATACCCCCACTGGCAGTTAAAAGGAAGAAACAGCTACGATCACACATTGCTCCTAGAATCACGAAGCCAAAAACACCAGCCTGAAGATGACGAATGGGACTTCGTCAAAACGTCGCAAAGACACTTCCAATTTGACGCGGGAGAAAACCCGAATAACCAAAGACCGACCTACCTACCTACCTACCTACCTACCCATCTATCTATCTATCTATCTATCTATCTATCTATCTATCTATCTATCTATCTATCTATCTATCTATCTATCTGCATATGTATATACAGTATTTATAAGACTTTAAGACATGGGATCATGTACCACATAGATCAGGAAAATAGATGGGACTTTGATTATGGTGGACAGTAATGAGTGAATGAATAGGGAGAACAAGCAGGAGTTTGGCAATGGAATTGTAGGGGAAAACCTTAACAAAATGCCCCTCTAAATCAATGCTGTACTCATAAGCTGAGAGCCTCAGCAAGAAACCAAATGAAATCAAAGTTTATTACTGACAATCACTTTAAAAATAATGAGGCTGAACAGACAGGACTTTAGAGTCCTGACTTGCAATGCTTTGGCTATGTTTAATGCTCTCTGAAAACAACCTGGCATGTATTTGTAGCAAGTTCAAACTTGTGGATTTTCAAAATAAAAATAAACATCAGACGATTAGTGCCATATTTCACAGAGAAGAGAGAGTGAACATTGATCAGATCAAAGAAGGTTTTTATCTGGAAGTTTTTTTATCTGGAAGTTTTTAAGAAGAGACTGGACAGCCATTTGTCTGAAATGGTATAGGGTTTCCTGCTTGAGTAGGGGGTTGGACTAGACAACCTCCAAGGTCCCTTCCAATTTTTATTATTATTATCATTATTATGGATCATCGCACAGTCAGCCAGATGTTCAGACTGGATTTGGCATTTTGTCTACCTATCGAGTCCTTACCCAGGACCTGGGATAGGCAGATGTGATTGTTTGATGGTATTACAGATATCGTCGCAAGATGGAAGCAGTTCCTAATAAGGCCGCCTTTTGCAATTGACTAATGGCAAATTTGTCAATGCCAATGGTGTTCAAGTAGTGCTCCAGTTGTTTTGAGATTTCACCCAAGGCGCCTATTACTATTGGTACTACCCTTGCTTGCTTTTGCCACACTTTGTATTTCTATTTGTAGGTTTTTGTATTTTGTTATCTTTTCCAGTTCTTTCTCGTCTATTCTGCTGTCTCCTGGCACTGACACATCCACTATCCAGACTTTTTTGTCTTTCTTATCGACAATTGTTAAGTCCGGGGTGTTATGTTGCAGGTGCTTGTCTGTTTGAATTTTGAAGTGTCAGAGCAGTTTAATTTTATCATTTTCTATGACTTTCTCTATTTTATGATCCCACCAGTTCTTTCTTACAGGCAAATTATATTTCTTCCAGATCTTCCAATGCACCATTGTTGCTACTTTGTCATGCCGCTGCTTGTAGTCAGTCTGTGCGATCTTCTTGCAGCAGCTTACCAGGTGGTCCACTGTTTCTTCAGCTTCTTTGCATAGGCGGCACTTACTGTCTGTTGCTGTGTTCTCAATTTTGACTTTATATGCATTTATCCTTAAGGCTTGGTCTTGTGCAGCCAGAATTAGTCCCTCGGTCTCTTTCTTCAATTTTCCTGCTCTTAGCCATTGCCAAGTCTTGTTATTATCTGCTTTCCCAGCTATTTTTTTAATGTACTGGCCATGTAGTGCTTTGTCTTCCCATGCCTCTATTCTGTTCTTCATTTGGTCTTTCTTGTAGGCCAGTTTGGTCTCTCCAGTAGTCAGTAAGCCTTCCTGATATACTAATTTCAGTGCATCTTCATCATTGTTCTTCAGATATTCTTCCAAAGCCATTTTTTCTTCTTCAACCATCTGATGTACTTGTAGCATTCTACGCCCACCTATTTGCCTTGGTAGATAAAGTCTGTCGATGATGATGATGATGATGATGATGATGATGATGTGCTACAATAGACAGAGAAAGTAGCTTTCCCTAAAGAAGAAACTCAAACAATGAGCCATCCCAATGGGTTAGGTTGAATACAAGCAGTAAGAGAGAGAAGATATTATGCAGTGCTGAGAGTCAGATTCAGCTTTCAGAACCTCCCGGAAGGAAGCTATAAGCCTTAGGAAAATTAAAAGGAAAAATTGAGAAGTAGGAAGATGATGGGGTCCTGAACGGCAGAGAGAATACTGCTGTATCCTACAAGTAGACAAAGAGAAACTCAAACTATAAGAATGTGAAGCAAATCTGTGTTAAGCTGACCTATCAGCTTGTAAAGGGTGTTAGCTGCTAAGAGTGCTGAGTTATGAAAGAGGGGCTTCTCAGATGTATTAAAGTTCACTGATAGTTATTCCTTTAGTAGGATAGAAATGCAACAAATAACCCATTTAGCTTAACATTGCAAAGATGAAGCGTTGCCAATAATACAGATATGGGAGACCAAAATCAGAGAGAATGTGGTGATGACAAAACTGGCTTTATATTTTTGTAATGCAAGTTTAACTAGATTCAAGCAGGAATGCCCCTCTTACATACAGGTCTTACGTCACACAGGAAAATGGGTTTAGACATTTGGAACATGGTTTGTAAGAAAAAAAAGTTAAAGGGTTACACCACTATCAACACCATCCTTCTAAGCTTTGCAAGTGATAAGCTTTGCCAAGTGAATATGTCTTTAATATTCGATCCTTTAATGCTTATTCTTTTGCTACTTAGTTCAAATTAAAATCTCAAAAGTCTTTATAGCAGTGTTTCTCAACCTTGACAATTTTAAGGCATGTGGACTTCAACTCCCAGAATTCCACAGCCAGCAATGCTGGCTGTGGAATTCTGGGAGTTGAAGTCCACATGCCTTAAAATTGTCAAGGTTGAGAAACACTGCTTTATAGTAACACTGCTTCAGTGTGGTTACTCATTTTCCAGTTGCTGCTAAGCTTCAGCCAAAGGTCCAAGCTGCAGGCAAGACTCCCAACTTTGTACCAATAAAGGAGAATATTTGCAGCTCAGGGTTGAAATGAAGAGTCCTTGGTGCTTTCTGAACTTGGTTGTTTTCTTGCAGACATTTCATTACCCAAACTGGGTAACATCTTCAGTACTGGCCATCAGTTACCTAGTTTGGCTAATGAAACATCTGCAAGAAAACAGCCAAGTTCAGAGAGCACCCAGGACCCCTCACACAATCTTTGCCTTTCTCCACATGTTCTTGCAGTAGTTGGATGAAGTGCTGCTTCAGTATGGTTACTCATTTTCCAGTTGCTGCTAAGATTCAGGCACAGGTCCAGGCTCCAGGCAGGACTCCCACCAAGATAAACTACTTACTGTAGCTTGTGGTCTTGACAGTTGAATGAAATTCCTCTTGCTGTTTGTACTAGCTGCTAATCTGTAGACATTGCTTCCTCTTCTGTTGGGCATTTGCCTTTACCTTTCCTGATATCCTCCACTTCTTCCTTATTCTGCCTTAGCATTTGCTTTTCTAAACTCAAAGACAGGAGAGGGTGTCAGTACGTCCTTGAAAATACCAGTGTGTGGCTCAATTAGCCCAGCAGCTGGAACACCAAATTTTACATGCTTGTTAGTACAGGTCTAAGAGAAATGGGATGGGGGGGACTTCTCTGCATGATTGCAGCAGGTTTTTAAACAAGCATATAACAATTTCAACTTCATTCCCTCATACCCATCTCAAAGGCTTCTTCAGGGCTTTGACAAACTGTTTTGTAAATCCAGTAAGGAGTCCTTATCCATGCCATTCTCTTGGTTTATTATTTGTATTTCCATTTTAGCTATCATCTCTCTTTTATAAGCCACGTTTATTAATTTTTCAGCATTTCAACAAATTCTTTATATTCTAATATTTCCGTGTTAGATGAGATGTGTTTCAGTGCTTTTCCTGTAGATCTTCCAAGCCATTCATTTTTATATCTGGCATTTCTTTTTTAACATCTTTTGGAAATAATCTATCCATAGAAGCAGATGGTGTTGATATCTTAGCTGCTAGTTTCTGCTTCAGTCTTCAAAAATCTCCTGGAGTAGATAAAATTTAAAGCCACTTTCTGTCATTTTGTCCCAATGCTAACAAAACTAACCTTTTTTATCTTTTTCCTTTTATGCCTATGATCTGAAATCATAAAGTCTCAAATTTCTGTTATGACTTAAGGTAGACTAAATAAGTTTAGTTCTCATGAAGGTGCTATTTATTT